GATACGAATAGCCCTCACATGTTCCGAACAAATAAATACCCACACCCTGCCCCTATATCTGAATTAATGAAATGTCCTCATAACAGCAAAAATGTGCTGAAATATAACGGCTGGAAATAAGTGAAGACTTTTTAAATTGGGCTGCATCACATTTTTTACAGCTCTGTTCAAAATGCACATAAACAAACATTCAAGCAGTTTATTAAAAGGCCCCAAATCCAGCATTTCCTTGCAATTAATATTTTTCCTTGTGCTGTTTGTTATAGATAGGCTTTAGGTGCACACTGAAAAATGATGGTTCTTCAAGGGTTCTTTAGTCAAGAAAATGGTGCTATAAAGAACCCTAAACACTCAAAGATGAATGATGCATGATGAAAGGGTTCTTCCATTGTAACAAGCTTGACTTTGTAACCATAGAAGAACAGTTTTGTTGCTATATAGAACCCTTTTCAAAAAGGTTCTATACAGAACCATCTACAGCACATGTCCATCAATTAGAGTTCAAGCTGAAACGCTGCTTTTAATTTTAGCAGGAGTGGGCGGGGCTAAACTGCTGTGGACCGAATAGGCGGATGTATGCAAATTAACTGATTTTGTGACATCACTGGAACAAAACAAGCTGTTTTTACATCTTAATGTCCATATATGGACTGTGGGGGCTGGTGAGTTAATGGTACATGTAACAGTGTTTTTGTACTATATCAAGCTATTTTATTGCATAACAGTGGGAAAATTCAGTTTACTTGATAAGGGCCTTTTTAAAGTTATGCTGCATGTCTATTCATTTACATCATTTTTTGCATTTTTGTCAAGAGTGTGGGGTAAAGAGGGGCCTCCAAAGACACTTGTGCCCAGAGGCCTCTTGAGGCCATGGTCATTCCTCTTCACTGCTGAAGGGACCCAGCACACATTCACTCGCCTGTTTGCACAGTAAATTAGCCTATCAAAATACAGCAAAATACACTAATTACTAAAAGCAGTGTCATTAGACTCCTATTTGTAACCACGCTGATGGCAGATCTTCACCATAAAGTGTAAGTGATGCTTTAGTGATGATAGATGTCTGATGATGGTTGACTGATTCACTTTCCATAATTGGGTGGGCAGAAGGGTGGTCATGCTTCATGCCACCCCTGGCCACCACTTGGCCATGCCTCTGCGCAAAACACGTCTTTGCTGATTAAAGATGTCTGTAGTAAGAGGGCAACTGAGTTTTGGCTGAGTCATAACTTTACACCCAAATAACATCTGGATGGCAGCTGTCCTGTGGTCAGAACTGACCAGTGATGAATAATGTATAAAAGGGCTGATACATCTTGCCTCAACTTATGGGCTAACTCTACGCCTATATAATAGAACTATAAGGTAGGTGGCCAATGAGTGAATGTACAAGTTTGGTATTTCAAATAAAGTGGCCAGTGAGTGGAAACAAAAGGTAGGTGTTTTTAATAAAGTGGCCAGTGAGTGGAAGTACAAGGTTGGTGTTTCTAATAAAGTGGCCAGTGTGTGGAAGTACAAGGTTCGTGCTTCTAATAAAGTGGCCAATGAGTGGAAGCACAAGGTAGGTGTTTCTAATAAAGTGGCCAGGGAGTGGAAGCACAAGAAAAGTGTTTGATAAAGTGGCCAGTTAGTGAAAGTACAAGGTTGGTGTTTCTAATAAAGTGGCCAGTGTGTGGAAGTACAAGGTGGGTGTTTCTAATAAAGTGGCCAGTGAGTAGATGTACAAGATAGGTGTTTCTTATAAAGTGGCCAGTGTGTGGAAGTACAAGGTTCGTGCTTCTAATAAAGTGGCCAATGAGTGGAAGCACAAGGTAGGTGTTTCTTATAAAGTGGACAGTGAGTGTATACACTCCATATTAAAGTCGTTCTGTTGCTGAAAGTAACAGATTGACACATAGAGGTGGTCTATTTTGGTTCTTCAGCATCTAGAAGGAGCATGAAAAGCTCGCTCCACTGACACTTGATCCATATACATAGGCATGGGTCAGCCCAGTCCTCCCAGTGGCTGCCAGTGCATATATATTTAGAGCAAATGAGGCTAAGATCTTGTGAAAATATCCCGTCTTAAGAATAATTCCTTTGTTTTGTTTTTAGACTGTAAAATGTGTAAAACTACACACTGAAATCAATGGATTATACTGATAAACGTTTTATTGAACCTGACGTATTTTTGTAACATTAATAAATAAAGTACACCTTAAACATCTGTGAAACTTTGTGGGTCAATGATACAAATGTACCAATTCATACTGCAAATTTTATTGGACAGTTAGTATTTAGTAAACCCCTCACCCTTCCATTTTTTAACAGATATTAAAATAACACAGCAGCTGATATAGCTCAGGGTTTATTCCATGCCAACCCACCACCTGTTCTATCATGGCTTTCAATGAAAGAAATTCCAGCAAAATCCTTCAGTTAATTTGTGCAACCATGCAAAATTTCAAAGCTGTGCTCCAATTAGTTTTATAGTTATGCATTTTTTTAAGTTTGCTCCATTAGGTTCTAAATTGCCAGTAACTAATAACTGTTTACAGACTAATCTGACATACTAAAGTACATCAACCAATCTTAACCTGTTGTGGGTATTTATTGACATGAAACCATTTAATTTACAGTAAAATATTTTTTGTAGTGTTGTGTTTGTACCTAGCTAATACTTCAGCTCAGTTCTGTAAGAATGCCCCAAACTTAATGCAATTTAGTAAAATTTAAAAAATTCATAACTAAAAAACGAACTGAAGCACAGCTTTAAAATTTTGCATGGTTGCATGAATAAAATTGAAGTATTTTCTGGAATGTTTTCCATCACATCACCTGACAGGCCCTAGATGAGTTGGTGTGGAACTTTCTTGCAATAAATGCAGGTACTTGTTAATTCAGCTTTTTTAATATGGGGACTAAAACCTTTTGAAACTTGACTATAAATGCACCAAAGCATGAAGCTGGTTCATGTTTACCTTCAAAAACTCTAGGATCCCATACATTTGAAGATAATTTTAGGGTCTTGATTAAAATCAGTCAGTATGCAAGGACTTGTAAGGACAGTGCTTGTAGTCATGAGACCTTATAGCATTTCTCAATACAGCCCAGTGTATTGAGAGACCTAATGAATCAATGAGCCTCTAGTGACATTGAATAAGTATATACATATATACATTATATATATATATATATATATATATATATATATATTCAAAGAATATTATTTTTATTTTACTTATACAATGTCACTTGTCTTGATACTAATATATTATCAGTCAGCGCTGACACTGTTTTCAGATATTAAGTAAATGGCTGTTGTCAATTTTCCTTAAAACACTTCTTCTGTGAGCTTGAATGTGCATCTGTGAACTCACGTTTTAAAAAAGAGCCATATGGCATAACTCTATACTGCTGGGGAGCATGGACAGGCAAGCGAAGGAGACAGAAGGGAATTATGGTCAGGGTTAAAGAGTTTGTTGTGTTGATGAATGCAGGCCCTGGTGGTGAGGGTTCTGAAAGGGAACTGCATCCAAGGCAAGCAGATATGAGTCTTCTTGGATTAACAACAAAAGATTATCAAGCAACATGAGCGCTCAACCATAGTTCATATTGGATTCTGCTTTTATGGGTCATTTCACTTAATATTCATTACGGCTCGTGTCCTTTTCAGACAACCATTTTTTGAAAAGTACAGTAGTGCCATATTTCTGGATGGATGCATCACCAGCTTGAATTATTTCAACAATAATTAAACAAGCTGGAGTCGGTGATCAGTGGCCTACTTCTATCTTTCTTTTCCAGGTAGGCCTGAACTGAATATTTGACTTCGTTTAAAGGAATAGTTTTCTAAAACACCACATTCACCTCATTTCTCTCTAATCCTAAATGTAGATCTGCCAAGACATGTAGTTAAAAACTACTGTAGCAGCCATTTTAAAACCTGAATTCAGAGCATTTCTGCATAATTCAGCTTTTTAAATGTAAACAGAGTCATTGAGAGTGGTTTGGTGTGAAATGGTTGATTTTAGAGACTCAGATGTCTTTACAGTGGTGGTGATAGGAACCAGGGGTCGCCATGACTACAACACAAAAATAAACATTTTATTTACCATCCAAAACCACCAGTGAACCTACACGAGTCTTCTGAGTTTTATATATACATATAATGTTGTCGATAGTAAAATAGTGGAATGCTGACATACAGCATGTAGGCACTCTAGATAGGTTTTTCAGAGGAAAATGTCCCATCTGTAAAGCTGTTGGAAGTCAGAGAGCTCCATGTGGCTCCAAGTCCAACTTCCCGAAGAGGCGTTTTTCAGTGTCTAAGTTCAGTTTCAGCTCCTGACATTTGATCTCGTGGCAAATGTTCACCTAAAGGCATGTTTAAAATGGCTTTCAGTTGGGAATTCTTAAATTAGACCATACCTCTGTGTGTTTCGGTCAAAAAAAAAGCAGATTCACTGTAGTAATTAACGAAAAGATCATCTTCGTGTATTACAGGCATTGTAAAGGCTAATTTAGTCATTATTACTGGATCAGCTCCTTTAGCCTACCCTGCTCCCCTGTAGCTAACCTGTTTATGACATCAAGGATGTGCACCGGACCTCCGGACAGCTTCTAGCATTTACAGTACAAACCCATTTTGACTTGTCTTTTTACCGCGCTTCTCATAAGCCATATGTGGCTGAGTATCCCAGGTTAAAAATACCGCTGCTGAAAATGAGACGCTCTCCTAGTTTACTGTGCTGGCCTGAATCAAAAGCCAGACTCTCAAGCGCAGCGTGTCAAACATCCACTTTGACTGTAATGTACGTTGTCAAAGATGCCCAGCTCAATGTGATGTAATCAGGCTCTATGAAACCCTGAATTGCTGACCAGAGCCAAGGAGTCTTAAAAGAGGCCTTGGGAGTAGTCTAAAAATAGCGCCACCAACAGGAGGACGCAGCTCCCCTTTCGGCTTGCCCTAAGAAAGTTAAAGAACTTCCAGAGCGTCAACCGATCCGCCCCGTGACATCAGACGCTGGGCTTAAATAAGAAGGCCTTTGCCCACGGCTCAGGACCACTCTCCTGGGACTACGGCTTCTTGACTACTGCCCCTTCTCCCCTCCATCTAAACTGCATCATGGTGTGTACTTATCTGGGAATATTCTCTTTTTTCCCCCTCTTTTCACATTTTGTTCGCTTCTACTGTGGAAATCCAGCGAATCTGGCAACCTGCCGTCTGGGCGATTTCAGGATACTTTTCCTTTTCTTGAATGGGCGCAGGATGGCTAACTCATTCTTATGTCTCACAAAGCCGATAAACTGGAGACCTAGCAGCCTTTTAAGAATGGAAAATAGCTATGATTATTTGCCAGCCGTATAGGATCAATAGCTCTGATCTCAACCTGGTATTTGTGCCCAAATATGATATGTATTTGAATATTTTAGTTGAACTCGTTGAATTGCGTAACATTGACCACTGTCCAACATTGATGTAACATAAAAGCCTATAACTATTCCATTATGTAATGATAAGCTACTTGTAGTCATGTAAACTGGACTGACTTTGTGTTTATGTCTTTGCCAGACTGACTTCACTGCTGACCAGATTGAGGGTAAGTATCACATGTCTGTCATGTATATACAGTACAATGCCTTCCTTGTAGCATAGCAAACCTGAGAATGTCAATAATGCTAGTAAAATTTTAAACTTAGCCCCAAGTATCTCTTAAACTTTACCTCAGAACCAAGTCGACTCTTGCTAGTCCACAAGCTTCATTCATTTGAGCAATAAAAGACAAGAAGCTTCCACGTCTTTTTCCAATGCAAATATAATGCGGAATGAACCAGGACAAAACAATGCGGTCTTTAGCAACTTAGCAAAGTTTAGTTAGCAGATGCAAGCTTTAAGTCTTCTGTGGAAGACAATACAGAATATGTGTTGTTACCTTAGTCAGAATTAGCAGAATTAGCTTGCTAACGTGAGCTCTTCTTGTTCAAAAATGCCATGAATGTTCACAAACACCTGTAGTTTCAGGCTAGTTAAACCTAACAGTGAGCATGTTAGCTTCTATCTGAACTAAATGTCAGTAGAGCTTGTTAGCTTTCATTTAAAACATGTAGCAAATGGAGCCTGTTAGCTTTATTTGAAACACACTGTCAATGGAACCTGTCAGCTTTCATTTAAAACTAATAGTGAATAAAGACTGTTAGCTTTAAAATGAATGCTCAGTGGAGCTTATTAGCGTCGTTTAAAACAAATAGTCTGTGGAACTTGTTAGCTTTATTTTGGAGCCTGTTAGCCTTATTTGAAACACACTGTCGATGAAACTTGTTAGCTTTCGTTTAAAACTTATAGTCAATAAAACTTGTTAGCTTTAAAAACGAATACTCAGTGGAGCTCATTAGCTTTCATTTGATCAAAATAGGTGTTCAGATAGATTCATTTGAATGGAGACTATTAGCTTTCCTCAGCTGCTATGGATAAACATATGTTGGATATTTTAGGCAACAGTAAAGCAGGCGTCCATTTCACAGAAGCCTTTTGGTGTTTATCCCCAGCTAATGCAGGCTGTTCTGGTGGAATGTGAACTATTGATCCCCCATATTGTGTACAGTACCCAGTAAAGTCACGTTAGCCTTCATTCAGCTAACTTGCTAATCCCTCCGATCTATGATAATCACGCGTATTTCCGAGAGATTTGGAACACTGTTGGATTTGGCGTTATAATTAGCATGCTAAGCTTGCTTGGCTTTCCTGTTTTGACATAATCCAAGACAGTTGCACAGCAGCAGGCCTTCAAAAAGCCAGCTAGGCGTGGACATGATCAGCCGCGTCCTGGGAGGCGCAGGTTACGTCGTAGTCAGCATTCTTGCGGTAAACTTGGTTCAGGCGCCGTGGCCATGTTTGGCAAGAGACACTTTCTCAAGACGTATCAGCTGACAGAAGGCGCACTAAAGGCCACCCAAAAGAGGCCGGAGAGCCACAGCTGCTACAGTAAAGTCAAAGGAGGCCATCAATCTGTTGCTGGATCACTTTCCATTTAGCTCCCTGCTGAGCCCATAGAAATAGCGAAGCCATTTTGGCATCACTCTCTTTCCTCCTGTATACACAGTTGTCCTTGTTAATTAGGTGCAGCCGGTGAGGACAAGAGGAAGACCTTCACTTTCTTTAACCTTGTAGGATTAGTCAGGGGCCAAAGAACAACCAGGATGGCAACAGTTCTTATTGCAAAGACAGCATAAAATATAGTTTCTTGAGGTTGTAACATCAATGGTAATTATAATATACTTATAATATATATTGTCCTATCAAAATCTTGTAACCTTGTAACCCACTTGTTCTATGAACATACACTAAAGATAATGACAGTTTAATTCTGCTATTCAGTTACCATTTCACACAAAATTTTCCTGCAACAGAAATAATATACATCCAAAAGCGACACTATTAAGCCGGGGTTTGCTCTACTTTTCCACCTTGAACACCATTGTAGACACGACTTATGGTAAATAGTAAGGTTATATAGTGGCGAGTGCTGTAGTAGCTTTATGGTGATACTACATCAATCAGTTTTATACTGATTTATTTGTAGATCTATGCTGTTCTGCGCTAAAAAAAAGATCTTCTGCTCTACAGACTTCAAGGAGGCCTTTGGTCTCTTTGACAGAGTTGGTGACAACAAGATTGCCTACAATCAGGTTGCTGACATCATGCGCGCCCTGGGACAGAACCCCACCAACAAGGACGTGAAGAAGATCCTGGGTGACCCCTCTGCTGAAGGCAAGGCCTCTTTATTACGTTCTGCATTTTTATATTTCTAGCCTTTTATGCAGAGAGGAAGAAAATGCTTGAAGTGTACCTTCCATAACGCCACTGGCTAATAGAAGTTTTTGTTTTGATTTGATATTTCACTTTTTTACTGGAATGGTATGCAGATAAACTCATGTTTTGTTGATTTTCTAAGTGAAAATAAGTGAACATACCTTCTATAGACAACTTAAATATGGCATTTTTCTGCAATTGTTATTATATTTGTTTGCTAAGTTTAACATATTAATTAAAAAATTCAAAAAAAATAAATAAAATGTGCCATAATTTTTCCATAGGCCACATTTTATGTTTTATTTTTTTCCCCAATATGTTGCATTCAGCTAATAAACAGTAATTGTGTATTAAAATCTGCAGAAGTTGTTCTCTGTGGAGGATGTGTGTTTTACCAGGGGAGCACAAACTTTTGCACACGACTGTATAACAGTTGCTAACTAGTCTGCTTGTAATTATCATTGCAGGGCTTAAATAGAGCATCTCAGAAGTAGCTCTGTAGAGAAAATGATACATGATACACATTTTAATGGAGGGACTTTTATTATATAAAAGGCTTTATTGATGTAGTAGGAAAACGTGGTGAAAGGCTAAGGCGTCCATGTTTTTGCAGATATGGCCAACAAGAGGATTGACTTCGACGCTTTCCTGCCCATGCTGAAAACTGTGGATGCCATCCAGAAGGGCACCTACGACGACTACGTTGAGGGTCTGCGCGTCTTCGACAAGGAGGGCAACGGCACAGTGATGGGCGCTGAGCTGCGCATCGTGCTGTCCACACTGGGTAAGCGGTGGAGGAGGGGATCATGGGAAACATAGGCTGGTATGCTTATGTGGCCAGTCACTCTAGATAAGTGTGATATAGTATAAAAATCAACCAATTCAAATGGACCAGAAGATTAATGCAGATTTTGGTGTTAGCCACCCTGCTAACTCAGTTAGCTATCTAACCATCTGAGTTCATTTTCAGTTAGATTGGCCAGAATTATATCAAATGTCATGCCTAGTTGCTAAAGTTAGCACCAGCTCCATTTTGGATTTTTAGAGCAGCTATAGCTTCAGGTGGTCACACTGGGTAAGTGGTGGAGAAGAGGATCATGGGAAATGTAGGCTAATATCTTTATGTGGTCCACAGTGACCTTCTAGAACAGGGGTGCCTACGCTTTTATCTTGGTGGGACGAAGTGCAACATTTATGGTGTTCGTTGAGGCAAAACAGTCACAAAGACAAATAAAGAATCAAGACTTTAAAAATGTATTGATGCAAATTTTGATTGTAGCTAGCTAGCTAACTCAGCTAGCTAGCTAACTATCTGTCCTTTATGAGTTAGTTTATAGTAAAATTGGACAGAATTTTCTAAAATTTATAAAATTTTAGGTCTATTTGCAGCTAAAATTACCTCCATTTTGGATTTCTGAGCTGCACCAAGAACTTGAACATGAGTCTGCGATGAAAAATACTAGTGACTGTGACTTTTTTGCGACTAGCATCCAAGAGCCTGTGAGAGTATCATGGGAAATGTAGTTTGCTGGATGAAATCAGTTAACAGTACAATTGAATGTAGAGTATAACTGAACATCTTGCCTTTCCCACAGGTGAGAAGATGTCCGAGCCCGAGGTTGATGCCTTGATGCAGGGACAGGAGGACGAGAACGGCTCTGTCAACTATGAAAGTAAGTGCCTACGTATTACATATCACCTTATATGACCTCACGTCCAGTGAACGATTAGCTCGTTTAAACCTAAAGTATTGTTGGCGATACATTCAGAGTCTCCTTTTTAGGTAGTAGGTTGTTTACATGTCTACGTTCATAGTAAAAATGTGGAATTGGAGATTTTAAGAGCTACTCACTGTGTAAAAGATGAACGACGGCGCCAACAAGAAAATATATTCCTGTTCATAACTTTTTGAGCTAGAAAACACATCATCAAGTGAGAAGAGTAGATCAAAATGCAGATATAGCCGCTCAAGTTCTTATGGCACGCTCTGATATGGCCAGGTTTTGTTGTTATTTTTAGAAAGCACCTCAGCCCATGTATGGCCTCGTGCTGATGTATGCCTCCTTCTCCTTTTACAGGCTTCGTCAAGCACATCTTGTCTGTGTAAGACGTCGCCCCCCGGCCCAAGGGAGTGGTGAGGAAGGCGGTGTATCTACAGACCCCATGGTGTCAGGACATCAACTCTGTTTAAGACCAACCGAGCAACAACAAAAAGGACTATGAGATGCCACTAAACCATTCTTTTCGCCCCCATCTCTGGAAGTCAGGCCCCCCCACACCTCCTCTTAAGCAGTCAAGCCCCTATTTTCCTTTTTGTTCCGCCCGGCGCGGCGGTCCGCGGTGCGGCGGAGACCGAAGGGGGTAGGCAGCGTCCACTCACCAAGTGAGGGTGCGTTCCCTGTTCCCTCGCCCGCCCGGGTCACTCCAGCACCAGCCAGCCGTGCTAAAGGCACCTGCAGCAGCCGCGGACGGCCTGCACACGGTCCCCCCAGCCCAGCCCAGCCCAGCCCAGCCCGGCCCAGTCCGGCCCAGCCCTCACACGTTCATTTCACAATAAACTCTTTTTCCAAAAGCGCCTCTTGGTCTTTGCTTTTCTCCTTAGGAAAGAGCTCCAGTACTGTGGCTCCTCATACACGCTGCCTAACATTAGCATGAGGGAAACTAGCTTAGCTGACAGCACATTTTATGTGAGGTATCAATTTCCATATTTGCCTCATAAGGCATGCTAGCACGCTGTAGAGGAGCCTTTTAGTCTGTTAGCTGTCTGCTGAGCTGTCCAGTCTGCTCTGAGGGAAGAATATATTTCAGTGAGGGCCTGTTGTTACATTATTATACTTTATTGATTTTCAGAAATACTTGTGTGATTGGGAACTGAGGAAGAAATCACAGCCATACTGGCTGCAGTAAGTGTAGTGGGTCATCAGAGAGCTAACTCATTACGGTCAATTGTTTGTTAATTTGTTGCAGTATTAAGATAAAAATGGATAAAAAAAATGCATAAAAAGGGAAATGGATAAAAAAACATTATTTACAGATTTATCTTTAAATCTTATACTCAGTAATGAAGAATTTTGATTGTTAGGCATTAACCTTTAGTCAAGCTGGGTCCAAGTATTTATCAACCTGCCCACCGGTGCATGGTGACGTAATCAGAATGTTTTCGAGGGAAAGGCCATCATTTAATCAAACATTACAGGAAAATGCTGGCCTTTTACATGGTATAGTGTGATGAACCATGCTGAATATGACCAGGAAATGAGCTAACAAGGTAAAAAAGGGGGTCATGGTTTACTTTAAAATCATGAATACATGTATATCTGTGCGTACTCTGAACACCACAGAACAAAAGTGGGATTCTACATGACTAAATTGGAGATAAATTTGGGGGCAAAATAAAAAAAATGACCTAAATGTGGTCTTTCAGCCCAGACTGGGCCTGTGGCTAAATCTCAGATGGCTCCCTACTCCCTGTTTAGTGCACTGCATCAGTCATGAAACTAAAGCTTCTACACACTGTTTGTTACCCAGAGAGTCGCACAGCTTAAACTCAATGTAAATTGATTCATATTAGACATATAAAGCACTATTTTGGCTGTAGAAGCCGTTATTTCGTGCCCTACATAGTGCACTATGTAGGGAGTAGGGGGCCACTTGAGATCCCGTCTCTGTTTACCTCAGAAAGTGGCGCGGAGCCGGCGTTTGTCCCTTCCCGGCCCCCGTCCGTTCGCCCGCCGCGTTTTCCAGCCCAATGGCGAACGAGCAGCAGCGGGACGAAGTGGAGCAGCACGGAGGAGGTGAAATTTAATAAAATTACCACAAAACTAATCCCCACGGCCGAATAAAGACCCCGAGCAGCGCTGCTTAATCTAACTGTGGTCCGGCGGAGCTAAAAACGAAGCCGAGTTGAAGCAGCTTCGCTTTAGCCAGGTTAAGGTTATGCTAAGCTAAGCTACGCTAAGCTAAGTTTACCGGCGCAATAACATTCGTGTTTTGCGTTTTGCTCTCAAAATCGCCCAGAAAGCGCATGTAGAGTTCAAAATTGATGATTTATTGTTTAAAATTTAACAAAGCTGGGGCTCATTTTGCTCTAAATGCGATTATTATGGTTTGTAAGCTGGCTAAGGAGCTAAAGCTGTGCCTGTACGCGCAGTTAAAGGGGAACTCCACCCATTTTACATAATTTCTGTATTATTTAGTGTTTGAGCTGTGAACAGAGTCGCTCAGAGAGGTTCGGTGTGAAATCGTTGGTTGTAGAGGCTCAGATGTCTTTACAGTGGTGGTGATGGGAACCAGGGGTCGCCATGACCACAACACAAATATAGACATTTTATTTACTGTCCAAAACCACCAGTGAACCTACACGAGTCCTCTGAGTTCATATGGAGTGTTGATGATGGAAAACAGTGGAAAATCTGAAATAATACGATTTCTTTGGGGGCTATTTTGAACATTTTTAGGCCAAAAATCTTCTCTCAAAAATGTCATCATAATGCTTTAAGTATTTTCATACCCATTTCACGTAGTAACTTTCTGTGAGGGAGCTTTTAGAGGTGGACGTCTGGTTCCTATCACCACCACTGTGAACAGTTCTGACTCTCAGAGCGTTTCACACCAAACCACTCTGAACGACTCTGTTTACATCCAGACCATTTAATTAAGCAGAATGCTGAATATTGATGTGTCACTGTGACGCTGGTTATTTCTGTTTATTTTCAGTAAATTTGGCATCTCAGCATAGGAGCTTGAGTTTGTTATTCACCATGTTTCTCTTTTTGGTCTAAAATAAATGCTAATGTGAGAGGAGAGAGTGACAGCAGAACAGAGAAGAGAATAAAAGTAAACCTTAAAAAATGAATATAGACTTCAGTTAGATGTAACTAGTAGATGTGAAAATCATGTCCTTTTTGGCTGCTTGTCCATCAATATTATACTTAATGGGGAATTTCCATTGTTTTTTCCCCCCAAAATCTGCATAATTCTTTGAGATGTAAACAGAGAGATTCAGAGTGGTTTGGTGTGAAATGGTGTGTGATGTCTTTACAGTGGTGGTGATAGGAACCAGAGGTCTCCATGTCTACAACACAAATATAGCCATTTTATTCACTGTCCATTTGAGGTGTAATGCTGCTGCTGCTGATAAAATAATGGTAGCTTTAACATTCAGTTTTTTGCGGGGGACTATTTGGCTTAACGCGCTACATGTACCTCTCCACTACGAATGGACTTTAAAGAAATATTTTTTTTTGTTTATTTGAACTTGGAAATAAACTAAGTTATGAGAAGTAAAATGAAAAAATATTCAATAGTCTGCCCTGTTTGTAGGTCACTAAGCAAAATTAAGCAAATTTATAAAACCGACCATGTTAAGCTCTTTGTACAGTAGTAGTCTCAGACTTTTGCACCCCACTCTGTATGTTTAGGCCAAAACGATGTCTTGGGCATCAGGCAGCGCAGTCGTAATTACTTTATGCAATAGTTCTCTGTGAGGGAGCTTTTAGAGGCATTTAACTCTTTAGACATCTGGCTTCTCATCACCACGACTGTCCACGGCTCAGTCCCATTTCTTATTTTTACCCCTGCCTTTTGTTTTCGAGTGTCATGCCTTGGAACTGAGTTACAAGAGGTAGTGGTTGAAATCTTCCTCTATGAAATGGGACCCTCAAATAAAGAGCATTACTTCATTAACAGCTACTAGCGCTGCTCTGTAGGCGACCCTGCCAGTCTGCAGTGACAACAGAGGGGGGTAAAGTTCAGCTCCTCACTACTGGGCTTTAGTTACATTTAGGGCATCATGTGCCTTCAAAGTGGGGGGCAATTATTTATTATCACCCACTCCTAATTCTTCAGTGATATGAAGCTGAAGTCAGATATTCACCAGCTTCTTGTTCGAATTTTCCCATTCCACCTTAAATGGTGCAGCAGTTGTGATGGCTAAAACGCCATAATTTTAAGGTGGAATGGGAAATTTAGCGAGCTAGCTACCGAAACGTCAGCATATTAGTAGTGGTTTTAATGCTTGTTATAAAGAAAATTGTTATCGTAAGTTTTTAACTGAGAAAATTTTCACATTTGTGGTTTTCTTTGGTCTCTTGTCGTTTGTTGTTCATAACACTGTTTGGAGTCTCTGAAAAACCTTTGGAGGGCCATGTAGCTCTAACACTGCGCTCCACCCCTCTTTCTCAACAAAAATTGGGACACCCTACAACTAAGCGTGAAATGGAACCGGACCACAATTCTGACTGAGTTAATCTGTTTCCACATCAGATCAATCTGGATGGCTTTGTTTACATCATTAACCATTTAGTTATTCAGAAAGTTTTAAATGTCAGAACCCTTGGTTTATTTGTAAAGATGCAAGTAATGGCCAGAAACACAAAGGCATACTGTTAGCTAGATCTGTGGTGGATGCACCGGTAGAAGTTCTGCTTTTATGCTCACCAGCAGCACTTCTGAGCAGGTCCTCCTGGCGTCCCTCATCTTCCAGGTAACTGTAGCACTCCTTTGGTCACCAAGGCTACAGTCGCTCACCTTGGTAAGTTGTTTCGCCTCCAGCAGGACCAGAGGAGAAGGGAGGCAGTGTGAAAAGTAACACTGTCTCTTCCAGCACCGGCCCTGGGGGAGGCCTGGGGAAGCGCCCGGCCAGCAGCAGCAGCAGCAGGACGGAGGATGAGTGCAAAAAACAGCATGTGGCCTTCAAAATGGCCAAACCGGGCTTTAGTGCAGCCAGCCAGTCTCTGAAGAAGTCTCCAATTTCCATCAAGCTGGGAGCTAGTGTGAGTAGGACACTGTGGTGATGCCAAATCAGAACCCTGTTTCTAACTAATAATAATAATAATAATATGCATCTCAGTCAAGGAGTCTGGTCTTGGTTTAGGGTTTGTTTTGGAGGCCTTCACGCTGAAGCTTCTGTTCTTTTTCTCCAGAAACCTAAGGAAGCTGCACCTGCCTTACCGGTCAAAAAACCTGCATCGGTTTTCGACGAGGACGATGACGTGAGTTCGAAATCTGTTCAACTTTGAGGATTAGTTGCATTTAGTTATTCTGGATGGACATTGTAATTCTAATGAGCTCTGGGGTGACACTTCTATCGCTTCCTGAAATCAGTTAATATCGTCAGAGCCGGTTTGTAAGGAGCCTGGCCACTTCCTATTTCCTCTGTTGTATCAAATCAGGATCACAAAACAGCAGAGGGCAGCCACGAGCGAGTCCTCAATGAATGGGGTAAATGAAGCTCAATGGCTAAAAACAAAAAGTTAAAATAGTTTCTAACCACTCGCCCAGAACTTTTCTTTACTTTTAGAAAGTAGAAGGATGTAGAAGGAAAACACAGAAAACTCACCTCATCATGAACGTACATTAGGCGCCATTTTAAACTACAGGGTGTCCCAAAAAAATTGACATCATTTGAGATGTGAATATCTGAGTAACTACATGTCCTGGCAAACAAAATTAAATAGGTTTCATGTTGAACAATACAAGATTTATTTATCAAAATTCGAGCAAAAAATTCAGAGGCATGTAGATTTCACAGCTTTACAAATGTTCAATATGCGCACCGCCTGTGACACAACACATGTCAAGTCGGTAGTCCAGCTCCTGCCAAACACACTGTAGCTTAACATGAAGGTTAACATGAATTGGAACATGTTCAGTTCCAGTTGGTGCATTTTTATTGAATTTTCTTGAAAATGCACACTGCACACTCTTGTTTGACTGTGTTTTAGTATAATCTAACACACAAAATGCCTTTTCATTTCTAGGGAACACCATTCTTCAACCTGAAAAAAAACATAAAAAATTTAATTTGGTTAGTTTTTACACATTTTCTTCAAATTTGAGATCATTTGAGGGAGAATTGGCTGTTATCAGACTACGAAATGATGTCAGTTTTTTTGGGACACCCTGTATAAGTTGAGTTCAAAAGCGCTTTGAAATACAACAGTGGTGTTAAAGTGTTTTATGCTGTTTTGTGTTCAGGAAATGATTGTATTCTTTTATATTAATGTTTGAGCATTTATAAACTATGATTTTGCTCAAGTGCTCCATATTAACACATTCATTTTGGACCCCCTTGGGAGCGCCCTCTAGTGTTTGAGAACCCTGGAAGACATTACTGAGTGATAATTCTCCTCTCTACAAATTGTCTGATATCGTCTCTGGTTTAGCCAAAACAAAGGCGAAATCAACATTTTAAGTCTTTTTCTTGTGTCCGTCACAAATCCAAACAAAAACTGCTGTCCATTGGACTTCAGTCATTCTCGACTAAGCGCTGATTATGCTCAGCATGAATTCAGGGGATTTGGAAAGTAGAGGGTTGTTCCTTGTTGTGGTTCATCTCTGAAGCCTGACTTTTAGTATTATATTCACTGTAGTGAGTTATAGGCAAAAATGTAACATGTTGATACTTCAAGAGTCTGATTGGTTGGAAAGGACCAGTAAAGAACCACATTGTTGAACACTATGAATGAGTTTTATTGAATATTTTACATACTTTCTTGCACAAAATCCAGTTAAACAGGACTGAGTATGCTGTCTTTCGAACGCCCAAGGAGAGTGTTTGACACAATCCTGTCCAGCCCACAAAAGTATTTTAATTTTCTATTAATATTAGCCCATTTCACAATGCACTGCACTACAGTTCCCAGCATGCGCTGCAGCTTAATGTGCGCTCTGACTTTCCTACCCCAGCAGCAATCTATGGGACGGTTGCATCTCAATTCTACACAATTCCACACCAGTCATATCACCAAACACACTGACTGCCTTTCAGCTGCAGTTCGACCAACATAAACACCAAACGTGAGCTCAGCAGCTGAGAAATTGAGCCCAAGTCTTAATGAACTTGCAGCAAAGAAAAGATGCCAGGTGTCTGGTTCAAGTAGATAGGTAGGTTTAAAAGACTGAGCTCCTGGGGTCATTTAGATTTTGAATATTTCAAGTATTCATGTAATATTTTAAGGTCTGTATTTTACTGCTGACATCATAATTCTCTGGCCCACAGATTTGTTGAGATTTTTTAATATGGACCCTTTAGTGAATGAGTTTGAGGCCCTTGCTCTAATGGAGCACGCAGTTGATTAGTGTTTTATAAGAATTTTTATAAGAATTGCTCTGCTGGTGACGCTCTGCTGCTCCTGGGCATTGTTAGGCAGCAAAATGACACATTTTCCAATAAAGTACACAACGTAACATAGTTTATCACAATGATACATGTTGTTTCACCATATCACCCAGCCCTACAAAGGAAAATCATATAAAGTCCAACATGGACCAGCAGCTCTTGGATGTTACAGCTTATGCTTTTTATAGATCTCTGATGTCTCGTCATTCTGTAATCAGTGTCATGCCCATATTAACGACTGGGTCTAAGCTGGATTTACCGATGTCAGAAATGAATGGGCTTTTTGAAATTTCCACAGTCAGGCCCTGTTGGCTACACTGACTATAGTCCGGTGACATGAACTCTGAGGTTCATCTTCTGAACAAGATCTTTTCTTCTCAATTAATTATGTGCCAGCTTGTTGAGGCATCATTGAGAGCCATTAATGTTTGTTAGCAAATATAGTTTTTAATTCACCAGTGCAGCACTCTACAGCCCTGTTTGTTCTGCTTAGACCGGTTGTCAGCTTCAGAAACCTACAGAAGTGGCCCATTAGAGCCCAAAGATATGGACATATCATATATGATTGTGATTATATAGCTGCATATTGCAATGACAGTTTGCCTCAGTATATTAAAAACGCACCGTTGAATTAGTAAAGTGACATAGTTAAACGTATGACTAAGAGTGCTTTCGTTGGATTACATGAACTTGCATACCCTGATCTTTCAAAACAACTATTTAAACATTTACCTGGAACTGCGATTGGTCAGGATACTCACACTGTGATTGGTTAAAGGGTTCATTTGCATTACAACCTTCTGCTTCTGCGATATCAGTACTGCAAAGGTCAACATTACATTAACTAGTGACATATATCGCAGCCCTGATTCTGATTTCTTGCACATACAGGCTGAGTGAAGTGCCTTTTTGTGGCTGGAGAGGTCTAGACTGTTCTCACTCGTGTGCTTTGTTTGTAATGATGTAACGTTGATGTTAGTCATTTCTATAAATGTCTGTTTTCTGCTCTCCAGAGTGAACCAGAGGAGATGCCTCCAGAAGCTAAGATGAGGATGAAGAATATCGGAAGGTCTGTTTGACTTTTGACCTGTTGTCTAATTTTGTTGTTGCTGCTGGTCAGCATCTTGTGTTTTTAAATGCAGTCTGAACTGTTGGATTCAGCAGTCAGGAAGTGCGAGTTTATTTCAGCTAGGTTTTCTGTCAGTATTTAGGATACACCTAGCTTTCCAAAATGTTTTAATCAGTGTTTTCTTTTGTTTGTTTGCAGTATCTTAGTATGTAAAAGTTTTGTTTATTTTAAGGAAAAATATCAACAGAAATGACGCCCTTAACATGCTGATTTATTAAAAACCTCTGAAAAGCTAAGCATAAATAAAGGGCCATATCTTTGTATATTTTTTACATTATAGTTTTAATCTCATTTAAAAAGCAGTCCATGCTAAAACACTCCAGAGAAACCAATCTGAATGGATCAAAGCGGCATATTTTTACAACCGTGAGGCGCCTAGGAACCAATCACATACCAACTGAAAGAGGGGGTCATAGAGTTTCTGACTGTCAGTGGAAGTTGGCTCCCCTCAGTCTGCGAGGAGATGAGACCCCTGAGCAGAAAGCGTTCTGCGTTCTCCACTTCAATAAGAGTGAATCAGTCATAACGGTGCAACGTGATTTTCGTGGTCAGATTCATGATGTAGACTTTTTCTTAGGATAGGGTTTGGCAACATGCAGCACTTTTACTGTCCACAGCAGAATTAGATTTGTAGGTAAAAATAAAATAATCCTCCTTTCCAGTAAAATAAAGCTCTGCTGATCGTTCAACACAGTTTTAACAGCCTCAAACACTGGAGTTAATGTAGAACTGCTTATTCATCCTTTAACACTGAAGATCACTGCTGGTGACCATAGCAAAACAAAAAATTCTCACCAAGCTAGTAGCTAACAAAAATACAAAGAAGAAAAGAAGAAGAAAAGAAAGATTTATGAGGAACATCGATAGTTTAGAGACAAATGGACTTATTTGCGTTTATAATCACTCCAGCTGGTTTCCTGAAATGTTTTTAATCTGCAGCGAGAAACTGACAAACACTAAAAAGTCGCAAAGCTGAAATTAGCTTCTCGTTTGCTAGCTACTTGTTTGAATTTTCCCGTTCCACCGTAAATGGTGTAGCTCTTACTTTCTGGCGCCTCAGGCACCATTTACGGTGGAACGGGAACATTTGAACAAGAAGCTGAATGAGAAGCGACTTAAGCCGTAAACATTTTACAAGAAACTATTCAACTTTTGCGGAAAGGTTTCCTGCCAGAGATGCGAGAAAAGTGGCTATAGCTGAACTAAAGCTTAAAGCAGAGCAAAGTACGTTGGTGGTTTTTATATATATGTTTATATTAGCTATATTGTTAGCGTATACTAGTACATCAGCACATACTGAGACATATTTACAGCCAAGATAGTGAAGTGTTACTTCAATAAAATGGACATGAAATGTTGTGGCTCTCAAGGTGGTTAGATTTTTTGTCGAAACGGGACAAAATGTCTCTCTGACATTTGGGTTGTCGACCCCTGCTTTAGGACCTTTCTCATAAAATGCATTAAAAAAATATATTATAAAGATACCACTGAATAAGGCCCAATGGTTGGAACATAAATGGGATTTTTCATGTTCCGATTCATGTTAACCTTCCGATGAACATGATGTTGATTAAGTGAAGTAGTAAATACACTCTGATGAAGGTCATATTGTCCAATACAGAATGCACTGCTTTTGAAATGAGAAATAAAATCTTTAGGGTCACTCTTGAGCTCATAAGCAAATGCAGTTAATCTCGATTAACTACACAAAACAATGCAATTAATCAATCACAGTTAGTTTAATGATGTACTGAAAACGGAAACGTTACTGTAAGGCAGGCACATTTTGAAGCACTCCTTATTTTTGCTGTGTCATTAAATGTATTGGACTGAATTATGAATTTTCTAAATTGTTACACCCCTAATGTTACATAATGTTACTCTCATGTTTACCGTGTCTCACCACTCGCTGCCTTCCTTTGTAGGGACACACCCACTTCAGCTGGCCCCAATTCCTTCAACAAAGGCAAGCAGGGATTCTCCGACCATCAGAAACTCTGGGAAAGGAAGCTTAAAAGCCTGACAGACAAGTAGCTCCTGGGCATTATGACTTGTAGTAGAGAGGGTTGTTTTGTGTTTTGCTTTGAAATCTGTCATTTTGTCTCTTTGTTTTCGATGAACTTTGTAAAAATGTACATATATGATGGGATGTTTCCACTATAAAGCGTCTTTTTATTGTAGGTATGATTGTGATTTTTACCACGCTGTTGTGACTTAAAAAACGCCTTCCTTTGCAAACTGAAAATCTATATAGACGAAGATTACAATTCAGCATCCTCTAGATTCATAACTTGCTTGTCCGTGTATTGCTCTTGGTGAAAATCAGCCAAGCGTGCCACCCCCCAACCCGTCATAAGTGTATAGTTGATAAATTGCTATGTTTAATTACTATAGAGATTATTATTAGCAAAGAATAATGAAGTATAGGACAGAGTTTATGAGGATTGCTGCTGAGTACAGTATATAAGGAAGGGGTACGGAATATGATTGTGTGCTCTCCATGTTGTGATTTGTTTTGGTTTTCTTTTGGAAAGAGCATTAAAGCTCACTGAAGAGACAATGTGGTGTCTTAATTCACGTGTTTTTTTTTATTTCATTTGTTGCACTTCAGAGACCTCTGGAATGGATCTTTCGCAAACTTGTCCATGCTGTTTCTTCAACCAGTGCACCCTCTGGTGGTTCAAGAGCCTATACTGAGTTGGCCAAGGGGTCTGTAGTGGGCCACCGATGGCACTTTTTAATAAAAAATCTATGAAACTTTTACATGGTAAACAATAACAATATTAATACAAGCCATACAGCCCTTGAGATGCAAGAAGGTTCAGAACCCCTACATTCCAAAAAATGGTTCTTCAAGGGTTCTTTAGTATAGAAAAATGGTTGCATAAAAAACTATGAACACTCTAAGAACCCTTTGTAAATAAAGTGTTCTTTGCATTGTGAGTGTTCAGCAGATTGACGGAGAATGTGCTGTAGATGGTTCTAAATAGAACCTTTTTTGAAAAGGGTTCTTTCATTGTTACCAGCTTAAAATCATAAAGAAGCCTTTCATGATGCAAAGAATATTTTAATATTGCAAATGTTTTTTGAGTGTTCATAGTTCTTTATTTGTAGTTGTATTAGGTATTGGTGTCCAAATCATTTAAAATTGTGTTTTTTTTGTAATTAGGATAATTTTGCACTTAACGTACAATTACAAAGTGTGCCAAATAAATAATGTTCCGGTGTCGTTCAGTACATTTTAGCCGAACGTCTCACCTTTGGATATAAACTGGGCAGTCCTGATTTCACAAGGCTTAAGTGGGTGTCCTGCTCACACGTTTTCAAAAAGCTGACTTCCCCTGCTGCCTTGGAGAAAACTACAGAGCGAAAGCTAACAACCAAGCGAAAGCTATCCTAAGAAGCATTACTTATACTGATGTAGCTCAGCCTGAGAAATGTAACGGTTGTATTTAGTTCTACTTCCCCGACGTAGAAGGCTGGAAGTATTGGATTGAGAGCCATCAATCAAGCATGCTTATTAGAACCTTAGATATTAGGACAAAGCCCAAATAGTTCTCAGATAGGTCTGATCAGTGCTTTTAAGCTGTCTTATCTTTCTTGATTTCTGCTGTGCTGCTGTGGTTTAAGAATGCCTTCCTTTGCAAGATTTTAGATCTTTTTTCATCCCAAGATGCTTAGGACCCAATTTAAGTGTTACACAAAAATAAATAAATAAAATAAAACAATAACGGTAGTAACTATTAAGCAATTTACGATGATGACTACCAGACTGTGATGGAGGACATTAAATGCAAGGTACAAATTGAAAAATGTCGAATAATGTGAATATTTATTCCTAAAATGTTTACAGGTGCAATAGAAACAATAAATATGGCTACCAGTAAAGATGATGATCAAGAAAAAAGACATTTGTAACATGAAGGTTACAATGAAGGTTTAACCCAAGGAAATCTTCCAGCAAAACAAAAACTTAAACTGCCTTGTGGGGAAGCTTCTCCGGAATTCCCTTTCTTCAGCTGCTTAAAAAGGTCCTGATTGTCCAGCTTCTCTCTCCTTGCAAAAAAACAAACAAACAAAAAAATACTCAAGTAACAAACACTTTAAAATAGCAATAAACAACTATAAAATGATATACTCTCTTACATGCACACTGCATACTTAAATACACCACAGCAATTTACAGACTAATAGATTAATCAGTCTCATTTTATTTGGATAGTCCACCATAGTCCCCTATAGATTATCTACAGATGTTCAAATTTTTAATAAGCTATCTGTTGTAACTCAGTGGTGGGGATTAGGGCTAGGACCAGGGTGAGGATTGGGTTCAGGTCTTGGGTTGAGGTTAGGGTTAGGATTAGAGCAGGTTTAGAGTTATTATATTTAGAGGTATTATGGTCAGTTTAGTAAGTATTTTAGATGAATGTAACTTGAAAGTAAATGAAGTATCTACAAAGCATCTACAGTGGACCATCCAAATAAAGCATTACCAATAACTCCTCTAAAACAGGCCAAAAATCAGTCTCCTTAAATCTCTTTAAATGGTGAAGAAACTAGCAAAAAATAACAAATAAACAAATCCATACAGAAAATAATGACTAAACAGATTTGAAATGGAAAGTATAGAGAAAGATCCTGTTTACACTTGGCACTAAATGCATCCCATGTCTCGATGTTATCCGTCTGCACAACTGAAAGACTAAAGCAATCAAGTTTTTGATCGGATTGTGTTTAGATCTAACCGATAATCTGTTTCTGGCTTGTGAAGGACCAAACACAATTCTCCCACCATACCTTATTGAGTGCGTTTACGTGCAATCCAAATAATCTGATTAAGAAATCCGATAAAGAGAGGATTTTAGCTCAGTAATCAGGTCTCTCTGTGCACGTGAACTCTTACTCTGATTTCTTTCGGATTTCTCGGTCTGTGCATGTGTGAAAACAGACAGTGGTACCGTAAATAAGAGAGCAGCGTCGCCGCGAGACGCAGCAAAACACTTTTGGAGCAATGCTCCAAATACATGCTTGACGGAATAAAGGATTTAAATATTCTTCATCTTCTAGATGATGTATGTTGATATTTTCAGGTAAAGCGATGCGATGTTTAAAAAAAAAAAGTTGCGGCATAAAGTTTGAGTTTTACTTCACGTTTACGGTGCATTTTCTGTGAGTTTATTGGCTGGTTGTAAAGCAGAAATCTGATTACTGTCTGACTCATGTAGACTTAGAGTTTTTACATTATCTGATTACTCGAGCATATAAATGCGTTGATCGGATTACTGACAAAATCTGATTTTCTGCAGTTATCGGATTATTAATTGCACGTAAACACACTGTGACTTTAAACTATATCTTTTTTTTTCGACTGTGCTTCACAAATGTACATACTTCACTGTCTTTTCCTTATCTGTAACCTGGAGTGCTGAAAATGTTTCAAAATGCATTAAGTACTCCGTAGCATGTATAGGAACTGTGGTGATAGGATGTTAACGCGGCGGGCCAAAGAGATGCGCTAAACAGAGATTTAATTTCTTGCCTACAACAAATCAACTCATGGTTACATCATTTACCATAACATACTTGTGGGCTGGACCCTAAAACTTGACGAGGTAGCTGCGGGCTTGCATCAGGCGTTTCTGGCGGCTCAGCAGGTTGGTGCGCTTGTTGCCGATGTCGTAGTCTTCTTTAAGAAGCTCATCAGTGGAGTCCTTGTCCTGCATCAGCTGGAGCATGTCCCTCTGCAGCTGTATAGCCGACTCCTGCAGCAGCAGGTAGCGCATCACCAGTGGGACCTGGTCCGCCAGCCGCTTACTGACGATCTAAACACGAGTCACACAAGCACACGTCGGTCAATGACAAGCAACTTTAGCTACACAGTGAGGAACGTCACCGCTGTGATTATGTGACAGTAGATCATCACTGGCATGATGGTGTTCATCATAACAGACACTCTCGTGTGTTCGTTTGCTATTTTATAAACCAAGCCCCTCACACGGTCTCAAGTATGTTTGGAAATGTCTTCCACCAGAAAAAGTAGTTCCATCATTTCAGCTTAGTCAGCAGTCACAACTGCAAAACGTTTTGTGGTTTTTTTTTTCGTTATTCTGAACTGAGGTTCAGAATTTGACCTAAAAATGTTGTGCTCTTATGAATATGGCCAGTGGTTGAGCTACAAGTTGAGCATATGTTGTTGTTGCTTAGCATCTGGGTAGCAGAGCAATACAGGTATACTGAGGTAAGTGCTGTTATCAATATTTATCAAACAATATTTTTCAACCACTCAGGCTGACTGGCCGCAACTAATTGTTGTATAATTGTCATCTTATTTTCAGCAGTTGTTAATGCAACTAGTATGGGTATAAATCTCTGACCTCACAATGACTCGAAAACGATTCTTTAGGAAGCAATTAAGTGCATTATGAAATCTTAAATATCACTACAATGTCTTTCGTTTACATTGTTTTGGTTAAATTAAGAAGTACTTTCACAAAAAACAGTGAATATGCAAACGTGTCTGAAGAAAATCACGATATGCATTTTAACATTACTATGCCAGTTATACATTTTATTGAAAAAAAATATATTAATGCAATACTTCTGGTGACTGATGGCTAATAGAGCTGAACTTCCTTAATCTAGAATAAATTGGAAACAGTACAGAACTGGCTAATACTTAACAGTTTAGATATATTGGAACAACAACTTGACTGCAATCTTTTTTTTTAATTAACTGAGATGTTCTTTTTTGTCTGAAGTACTGAAGAAGTAAGGACACCCCTGGCTTCAGTAACTAGTAGTAAGTATAGCCCTCATGACAGAAACAACTTTATGTGTTTCCTGTAACTGTCTACCAGTTTCTGACATTTACTGGGAGAATTTTTGCCCACTCCACCATGCAGAAATCTTTCAACTGTGCAACGTTTTAGGGGTTTAAGGGTTTCTTTCATGTACAGCCCCTCCTCTGACCATTCCACAACCCTTCATTTCCTCCTTTTGAGACATTCCCTGATGGATTTTTCTTGCATGTTTGGGATCATTATCCTGCTGGAAGGTCCACTTCTTCAGCTTCAACTTTACTGTTT